GGGGGGGGGGGGGCAGGGGGGTCTCCCACCCCTCCCAGTTAAATCCACTTCGTTTACTCCGAACAAAGCCAAATGACAATTTTTAAGATATTTTTTAAGGGGAAGAAATCAAGAGGGTGAAACAGTGCCCTCTTCTGCGCGATGCTTTCCTCGGCTTTCACCGGCCAGAAACTCCACTTCTCCCCCCCCCTCACTTTGCTCTCCCAGCCAGCTGTAAAAAATGGGTGCGCTTTTACAAAGGAGCAGTTTGAAGGGGGGAGGAAGCGAGACTTTGGACCGAGCAGTTGATTGCCTCCTTCAGGTCCAGCTGCATTACATGGAAAGGCTATAAATTTTGGGGGGGAGGAATCGGTGAACCCCCTTCCCCTGTCACTCCTGTGTTCCAGTTTTAATGTGTTATTTTTTCCTCATTTGGTGGAAAAATAAACAGCGCTGGATTGAAAGCAAAGCTTCCAAACGGAGCCAACCCGATTTCGAGTTTTGCTTTACTGTCCGGCGTTGTGATGAACGTGGGGGCGTGGGGAGGGGCCGCCAAAGAAGGACGCCGAGCGAAACTCTGGGCCCCTTCCTTCCCTCCCTCTCCCACCACCCATCCCAAGTCCCCCCTCCCTTGAAAAAGATATCCAGGTGTCTGGCTCTTGGAACGGGCGAGAAGCATCAAAACGAAGCCGAAGACGATGCTGGCGCGCAAGGGGAGGCGGCCAAAAGCCTAAGAAGGTGGTGTTTTATTCGGGAAATAATGATGCTGCGGGTGAAGAACACGACAGTCCAGCCTCCGGGCGGGGTGCAGCGGGCGCTCCTCCTTCCAAAGGTGTGTGTGTGTGTGTGTGCAGAAGGTTGGCGCAAGGGGCGTTCCGAAGTGCGGCGTTTTGGCATCGAGAGTCTACGGCGTGACCAAGCCGGCCACAGTCACGGATGCAGCTGGGGTGGCGGAGGGCGCAACGAGGCATCGTCGAAGAGGGGGTTCTTGACTTCCATCTCCCCCGTCTGGAGTTGAGCCCAAAGGGGCGTTTTCGGGGCAAAGGGAGGGCGAGAGAAGCAGGCAGGAGGGGAAATAAACAGAGAAAGGAGAAAACCATCAGCATTGACGCTGGGTGTTGCAAAAAGTGCCGCTCCGCTCGTCCGGTGGGGAAGCCACCACGTTAAAATCTACACACACGAGACGCTGCGCTGCTTAGAGCCAATCTCGACTCATCAACCCCCGACGTGTGGATGATGGGAAAAGGGGAGGGGGTCCAAAAGAGAAAGAGTGAGGACGTGGCAGAAGCCGAGCCACCGCAACGGAGAGCCGAGTGTGCATCCACGGCTCCTTAAACGGATCATCTGCATGATCCGTTTTTATATTCATTTCTCTCTCTCTTTTTTACTTGTCTATTTTTTGTCTTTTTAAGTCTGATGTGTTTTAACAAACTGAGAGCCGCCCGGAGTCTCTTGAGCAGAGAAAGGCAGCCGTAGAAATGACGTGACGGGGTGTGGAAAGGACATAAAAATAAAATAAAATAGGCTAGGTAAGAGTCACCGGCAAAAACTGGGCAGGAAAAGGACACAGCCTTTGAGGAGCGCAGAGGGCTGGAACAGTTACAATAAAAATGAGAAAATAATGAATAAATAACGTACTGGAGCCAACCCAGGGCATTCATACACTGTGAAGTCTCCATCCTCGTTTTCTTCATCCGATGACGCCGATTCAGGAGCTTTGGCCTCTTCTTTTTGCCTAGAAAGCGGTACAGAAGCAGAAAGGTTCACCCACTTTGATGATGATAAGATGGAAGCTCACAACATACTGACTACACACAGCTTCCAAGTTCAGAGTATTTGACCCTCTTTCCTCCCAATGAGATTGCAACAGAGTAGGACTCATCTATCCGCGAGGGATTGGTTCCACACCTCCCCGCGGATGCTGAAAACCGTGGATAATACTGAACTCCAGACATAGCACTGTCTCTGGCTCCCTCTAGCGGCCAGTTCTGATAACTACATTGTGGAAATACCTATTTCTGTTTTTCTTTTAATATTTTTAATCTTTTCAGACTGTTGATAAGCCGAACTGCCATTATGGCGGCCCTACTGTACATGGTTACAACAACCTGTTGTCTACCTTCCCCTTGGCCATTTGTACAGGCACCGTGTTCAAGTCAGGGCTGGCTATGGGACCTCTTGGCGGTGCAACACTCTGTTGCAGAACTAAAGCTTTTTGTGGCTGCCACGATAGAGGAAATGGAGATGAAAGGAGAAACACTGAATACAAGCACACACACATCCCCAAAAAATAAGTTACTCACTTCTCCATGGAGAGCATCTGTTGCTTCTGGTGTTGGTAGTGATACATCTGAGCGCTCTGAGCCAACTTTTTATCTCCAGGCTTTAGAGGAAAGAGAGAGGAGGAGGGAGAAGGAAAGGTTAGTGCGCCCACTCTCATGGGATGGGAATCAGAGATGCAATGGGCTCAGAAGCAAAGAGTTGTCCTGCGGGTAGCATCTAGACACCAGGTAAGGCTTTCCTTACCTGGCAGGCGTCTAGAGTGGCCGGATCCAGCTCAAGGGCTCTAGTCCCCCACCCATGGTTTATGTCTAGGCATAAATGTAATTTTTTTATCACAGCACTAGGGTTGGGAATTGCCTCTTCCCGTTAAAGGTAGGGAAATACAGAGCCCATAAACACCAACGTGCATGTAAGGAGAAATGACGTACTGAGATCTTGTCGTACGGCGGAGGACCTGGAAGCTTATGAGACGGGTAGTTGGCCTTCTGAGCGAGCCTGATTTCCTTCTGCAGCCTGCCAGGGCGAGGGAAAATAAAAGGAAAATCAAACACACAAGAACAGCCTCTTCGATCACGTCAAGAGTTCCTCTACCCCAGGATCTTGCTTCTGACAGTTCGGACAGCCAGGTGCCTCTGCTTCAACCGCAAACGGGGCATGGCATGCTTGCTGCATGTCCCCAGCATTGGGTATTTAGAGATAGACTGCTCTTAAACATGGGTGTTCCTTGGAAAGGCGGCAGCATCTGGGAATGGCTGGCGTGCAGCCTCTGGGCCTTCCCCTGCCCACCCCCACCCCAAAA